GTATAATCCTATCAGCATTGCCCATAAGCAGAAAGCTGGAAGTCACCAGGTACCCATCAATGAACAAATGGGTGAACAAAATTCATCCATGCAAAATACATCCATGCAATGGGAATACAGTCTGGTCGTAGAAAGGAAGTATGCTGCATGCTATAACATGAATGAGCCTTGAAAACTTTATAATAAGTAAAGACACTAGTCACAAAGACCACATATTTGATAACTTCGTGTGTGTGAAATGCTTAGACTAGACAGAGCTACCTAGGGATAAGGAGGGGGCTGTCAGCAGAGGGGGAGTACCTGCTAGCAGATACAGGTTTTCTTATTTTGAGATGATAATTTTCCAGGAATAATGATAGCTGCAAAATCCTATGAAGAGTCTAAAGCCCACTTACACACTTTAACTAGGTGAATTATACGGTGTATGAATTGCATCTCAATAAAAGCTCTTATTTAAAAATTAAATATACCTGAAGGCATATGATACCGAGAATTATCATCAAAGGACTGCATAGTAAAAGAGAGGCATTGTCAACCTGGGATAATAAGGAAAAATCAAAGAACCAAAGGCTCTATGAGAAGCAAGCACAGATACAGTAGCAGTCAAGGAAAGGGGGGCAATGAAATTAGCCTCCACTTTGAACAATCACTCCTTAAGTTAATGTTGGGTAATCTTCTTACTTCGCACATGCAATTTGTACTGCTAACTCCATCATGGATTCTCCTGGGCTCTGTCTAAGGATCTAGGAATCCAAGCTGATTACATATCAAATGTCTTTCTAGGCACTGTGACAGCCTAATTTGTTGCAGCCTATTTAATAAAGATGACTAATCTCCTAGAGTCACTCAGGCCAACCAGATGGATACTTTATTTGGTGTACCCATCACTTCTGATCAGCTACATTCTTCCCCTGACAACCTCTCTCCTTAGCTTGGGTGAGAGGAAAAGAACCATTTGTCACACACCTTATTTTTCCATAAACTGTGACATTTAATCTTCATATCTTTCACCTAGATTACAAATAAGGAAAGTGGTCCAGAGAGGATAAGTGACTTTCTCAAAGTCACATCACTATCCAGTGTACTATAATGGGAACTCTAGTTTGGGCTGAATTTGAAGGACCAAGATATTCTCACTACAGTTAGGAAATGGGTAATCATTCAGGATGAGACTCCCTAAAACAGTTGGTTGTTCCCCATGGATCATTCCCCTTGGCGGTACTTTTGATGCCTGTTCAAGCCGGTTTTGTGTTGTTGTTAATTTTAACACAATGATACCATTTATATATTAAACACTTCTCTGGCTTATTCCCTTGACAACCATGCATCCAAAATTAGAAAAAGGTTCTCCCTGTTAGTGATTGGTTTTAAAAAATCTGTTTGTGGGAATATAACTTTTTACAAATAATATTTTTATGAATTCTTTGAGAATTCCACAGAATGTATGCTGATCACCTGCAACCCTCTCCAAACTATCCCCACCTCTCTACCCTCCTGACTTCGCTTTTCCTTTCTTGTCTCTTCTTTTGCTTTTGTTCCCCTTTAACTCCTCAACTTCAATTTGCACTTGCATTGCTCAGGAGAGCAGCTGACTTACCCAAAGGTCCCTCTCTCCCAGCAGCTATCAAATGCTAATAGCATCTCAGCTAGGGGTGAGACTTGGTGCTGACTCCCACCACCACCCACCCACCCACATACTGGGATATTGTCTTTCTTGAGTTTGCACCAGTCTTGGGCACACCTTCACAACTGCTGTAAATTCACATGCGCATTTGTCCTACTGTGTCTGGAAAACACTACTTCTTCCACCACGCCTGCCTCTGGCTTTTACACTCTGCCTGTCCACATCTTTCAGGATAATCCTTGAAACTCAGGGGAGGGGTGTGACGTAGATTTCCAATTTAGGTCTGAAGAGTTTTTAGTCCCCTTTTAGGTGCACATTGACCAGTTGTTAGTCTCTGTGCTAATCGCCAACAGTACATAAAGTAGCTTTTCTGGTAAGGATTGAGAGATACACTTAATCTATGAGTATAGCAATAGGCGATTAGAAGTTGTTTTAGTACAAAATTTAGCAGAATAATAGTCAATTTAGCAGAATAATAGTAGCATGTCTCTGTGTATCCCTGACTCTTTTGGAACTCACTCTGTAGACTAGCTGGTCTCGAATTTAGACATCCACCTGCCCCTGCCTCCTGAATGCTGGGATTAAAGGCAGTTTCTGAACAGTTAAATAATATTCCATTGTGCAAATGCACAATTTTTGTTGTGCATTATATTTCCTGGCAATTATGAATAGTGCATTAATGAACACTGAGGAGCAAGCATCCCTGTAGTAAGAGTACCCAAGAAGAATAGCTGGATTATATGGTATATTGACTTGAAGCTTCTTGGGAAATCTCTATACTGTTTCTACAGTGGCTGGGCCAGTCTGTAATCCCACCAGCATCTGGTGCCATTTGTTTTCTTGATTTTGGCCATTTTAACTGGGTTAAGATGAAATCTCAAAGTAGTTTTAATTTGCATTTCACTTATGACTAAAGATGTTGAGCATTTTGAAAATGCTCCTCGGACATTTGTATTTATCTTTTGAGAATTTTGTTTAGGGAGCTGAGACAGAACTGATTGCCTAAATTCAAAGTCAGCTTAGACTACATAGTGAGCTTCAGACCATCCTCGGCTACAGAACAAGATCTTGTCTGAAAACAAATAAACAAACAAAAAATTAGGATAGATCTGTGTATTGAGTGCAGGGCGTATACAATTAAATGACAAAAAGATAACGGGAAAACATTTAAGCTACTTTAAATGTTTCCTTGCTGTAACAATGATTTATAATGTATCTATCATCTCATCTATCCATACATGGAGAAAAGAATCCATGGTTGTTGGTGGAAGAGGATTCTAGTCTGCATACCGTGGTGAAACAGTACAGTTGACTCTCAGTATGCTGTGTGGGTCCCTTATCTGAAAATTCAACAACCTAGGATGAAATGTATAGTTAAGTCTACCCTAGAATGGCTGCATATATACTGAACATGGCATTCCGGTAATTTCAATCTTGTCATCTGTCCCGAAATAATTCGGTACAGTACCTATTTATGTAGTGTTTGTAGTGTATTAAGTCAATAATCTAGAGATGCTTTTAAGTATACAGAGGATATATTTAGGTCATAGGGAAAGATTATGCTACTTTTCATAAAGAACATGAGAAGATTTTGGTCCCTGGGATGAGTTCTGGAACAAATTTCCTGTGGTGGGTGAAGACTGCATATATACTCTCTGGAGTAGAGCATCACCCCGGGACTTGCTAGAAATGGGGATTATTAGGACACCCCATTTTTTGATTCACTATCCCTAGGTTGGGAGTCAGTGCTCAGTGTTTTAACAAGTCCTTCTGATGATCCTAACACGCACTAAAATTTGAGAATCACAGCTATGAACTACAGTAGTGATCACTGTTCAGCTTAACGCTTTAAAATAGCAGGTTCACAAGCGCAGTATGGATGCCTCTGGTTTTCTCCCAAGCATTTTGTTTGTTTGTTTTGAGACAAGGTTTCTCTGTAGCTTTGGAGCCTGTCCTGGAACTAGCTCTTGTAGACCAGGCTGGTCTCGAACTCACAGAGATCCGTCTGCCTCTGCCTCCTGAGTGTTGGGATTAAAGGTGTGCGACACCACAACTGGGCTCCCCCCAGTATTTTAAAACTGTTCTTAAGTACAAGGATATTAAAGTAGTATGTTACTTTCTTGTATGTTCTTGATATTTACTTAACCCCTTATTATCTCCTCACATGGGTTGGAAAAGTCAACATTTACATTACATATAGTGTAAAGATGCCAAAAGACTGAACCCTTATATTTCCACTGAGGACCACCCAAAGAACAACTAACTTTAGAACTCATCTCTCAGGATTTATAGATTGGAAAGAAAAGGCAATATAAAGTTGCCCTGATCAGTAGTCACATTTTCTAGATAAGGAAAATGAAGCCCTGAGACATTACACCAAAGAGAGATTATACAATAATTATAAGCATCATCTTTCATTATAATATGTACTACTTCAGGGTAGTTGTTCTTGATCAAATAGATTCATAATATCGACATAGGAAGATTTCATTTTATGATACATTTATATATGCATATATAAATATAATAAAAAAGCAAAAAGACGAACAGAATTTAAACCTGTCTGAAGGCACTTAAGGCCATCAAGGACTCTACTGTTCTCTCATTCATCAATGACCACAGGGATCAGTAAGGTCACTTAGAATGTCAATGTTTGTGCAAAATAGTCCCAGATCCCTGGCCTTTGGAATCCTTTGACTTCCGGTCCCCTCCTTTCATGTTAGATATTCATTCTTACATCTATCAGTGGGATTGTATGCAGTAGCCTCCATCCCTACTACCACACCTACTATGGCCGAATGAGAATTGAGATATCAAGTAAGTATGCTATTTAGGACTATGATAAAGATGATTGCCCAACAGATAAGAAACTAGAATATTAACAATAGGAAACCTGTGATTTTTTTTTCCCTCTGGCTTTGACATAATAGACTTTAGAGTCAATGTTGGCAAACAGGATGTACTTTATGGAGAAAGGAAAAGAAACAGGAGGTAATGATATAAAAAAACAGTATACATATATGAAATTAAAATAATAAATTTAAAAATCAAGTGACATACTATCAAAATACTCTGTACACAAATAAAACAATAAACTGTGGGAATGGTTTTAAACTCAAGAATGCATTTTTGGTCAAGATTTCTATACTGGTAGGGTTTTATTTGTTTTTCTAAGTAACAGATTCTATTTCTGAGAAATTTTATGTTAACAACAGTAGCTGATCCGAAAAGAGAGATTTGCCATGCACCTTCCCTCTCGATCCCCACATAATAACAGCCTCCCCAGTTATTGCTATCCCATACTTCAAAACAACAGCAACAGCTACTGAAAGGTTCATAACTTTACAAATCCCGCCAAAGAGGTAGTTGACATTACCTGTAACACCACAGAACTGTGGGTATTGCTGGTAAAGATGCGGGTGTTTCCTGCCTTGGAAGAATGCAAATGGGCAGAGAACCCCATTTTGCTGCATCCAAAGGACAGTCTCATATGCTGGTCTTCCTCTTCCACAAGAGATCTGAAAGAGTTTTTAAATGAGAAGGAAAGAAAAATGAAAATGTGCATAATTCACAGCAACGAAATTATTTAGGTAAATAGCTCCTGCTGACAATCATCTGTCTACAGAATATACGGAGGCTCCTTTCACTGCCTTCTAATCCTACCCGTTGGTAGCATAGAAGAAATCCACATGTTTAAAATGCTTTCTATCCAGGCAGTGGTGTCACACACCTTTAATCCTAGCACTTATGAGGGAGAGAGAGGCAAGCAGATCTCTGTGAGTTCAAGGCCAGCCTGCTCTACAGAGCTAATTCCAAGAGAGTCATGCCTACAGAAATACACACACACACACACACACACACACACACACACACACACACAATAAACCCTTTCTTGAAAACCAAAAAAAAAAAGGTTTTCAAGAACAGAAAATGTAGAAATAAACTGAGAAATCAATCAAAAGATAGTTTTAAGGTATAGTCTCAAGGAACTTTTAGGGTGACAATATTTGCTTTGTGTATTTTGCTATTCAGATAGCAATGCTATCAAATTATATCCTTCCTGGTTATGTTGAATTTTAAGTACCTAATTTTAGAAAGAGAAAACTAGCAACTGATGTATTCAATCACTGCTCTCTATCAAGTACTTGCCAAGAACTTTACACATGTGAGTGTATAGTAATAGGAGCGGCGGGGCTGCATCCCTGGCACCCCGGCTGCCTGGCTAGCTTAGGCTTATGCCCTGAAATAATTACACGGACACTGTATTCTTTCTATCTAGCCTCTTCTAGGCTAACTCTCACACCTGGACTAGCCCATTTCTAATATTCTATGTAGCACAGCTAGGTGCGCTTACTGGGAAGATTCTAGCCTACGTCCATCCTGGGTCGGAGCTTCATCGCGTGCATCTTCCCGGGAGCGGGGAGCATGGTGTCTCTCTGAGGCATCTGCCCCCAAGAGGAGAGCTGTCGAGTCTGAGCTCACTTCCTCTTCCTCCCAGCATTCTGTTCTGTTTACTCCTCCCACCTATGTTCTAAGCTATGAGCCCAAGCAGTTTGTTTATTACTTAGCCAATGAAATCAACAGATTGATATATGACACTCCCACATCATGAGTGCTTTTACTTTAAGACAACCCAATACAAAAGTTCTTATTATTAGCTTCACTTTCTTTTCTTTTTATGTTTTATTTATTGTGTATGAATGTCTGCCTGCATGGAGGTCTATACATCACAAGCGTGCCTGGTGCCCACAGAGGTCAGAAGAGGGAATCAGATCCCCTGCAAAGAGAATTACTGATGCTTGGGGGTTACCATGTGAACACTGGGAACCAAATTTTGGTCCTCTGCAAGAGCAATAAATGCTCTTAACCATTCAACTATCTTTGCAGCCCCTATCTCTTTTTTAGCTTTCTTTTCGCAATTTGGGATTGTTTGGAGAAACAACTGTTTCCTACTAGTATTTCCATCTTTTCAAAGACATGGATAATATAAGTAAATAAAATACGTTAAACTAATAGCTTTTTCCCAAGGACCATAAGAAAGGAATGCAGAATGTGGAGTCACCAAGACACTTCATTACCAGAAACTCTAATGAAACCGTTGATAGTTACAGGGCTTTCCTTAGATTATACTAAAAATGACCACCCTAGAATGATCTGTCATTATTTCTTACAAAGGGCCTTTTGTACCCTTAACTCTACATAGCTAAAGTGGATTCTGGATCATGTGCCTAAGAACAAGGAGTCCTTGGCTCTGAATTGGTTTGGTTTGTGCATTCATGATAGATACTGTTAAATGGTTATTAGGAAAAGAAAGAATTTCGATCAGAATTTCCCTTATCTATAATTTTCTGAAATTTAAATTATGTGATTTCTTAGCTGGACTATATCCAGTATCAAAGATTTCACCCTTTTCCTATAATATCTATAACCCGAGCTTCTCAGTTTTCATACGAGTTTTAAGACGATAGCTACTTTCTACACAACGATGTTGCTTTTTGAATACTAGCACCAATCAAGTGCTTTTAAATCCTGCACTAATTAGCAGGAATTCTTGCCTTAAGGGTGACATCAATTCTTCTGAACAGTATTAGAGCCATAGTATAATGAAAAATGAATTAATAAAATATAACCATGTTTTATTCATCTCTCATAGATATTTAATAGAGAATAATTCAAATAAGATTGTGACAAGCATAAAAGAAAATGAACATAGCCTTCCATTAAAGTTTCAGAAATAGCTTTAAAAGGAATGATATACTATATATATAATTTACATAGTGTGCAAAATACTCATACACATGTTTGTAGACAGGCACTGGAATTTATAGCACCAATTGGGAAAGTCAGAAATAGATGGTGAGGCACGTCGCTACCCAGAATATATCTATCCATCTAAAATTATTTTAATAGAAAATTCAAGCAGACTGTGCTATTAATTTCTATATTCCCTACACACAGCCTGGTATGAGAGGCTTAATTTATGTCCTGTGACTGAATATGGAATCTCATTTCTGTGAATCATTCCAAAGACATCTCTTTATCATGCAGGGCTTAAATGGCCATCAATTATCATTTTCCCAACAAGGACAGGAGTAAAGCCGCAGCTGCTCTGTCCTTATGACACACCCTAGAAGTCGTTTCTTTGAATAAACTACAAGTAACAACTTGTTTACTTGTCATTTGGTCCTTGCTCTCAAAATTGAGAAGGTTTATATGAAAATGCAACCCTTTCGTTGCATTAGGAGATAGCTGGCTTTCTGGTTAATTACTTAAAAAGCTGGAGAAGCCCTCATACTTGGCTTCTGGAATACCGGGGAGACTGACTCTTTAACATTCAAAACACTCCCTATCATTTTTGTGCCAGTAACAACACATGTCATATCAACCTTCTTCGGAGACTCAATATGCCCGTCTAGTTTCTTTTTTATTAAACTTACAGACTACAAGGAAAGTGCATTCTTCTTCAGCTCTGTAAGGAACTAATAGCTTTCTCTTTCTGGAAAGCCCAGGCTACAATTACAGCATGTTATTATGTTAAGGGGCTGTTTATCAGAAAAATTCCAGACCAAAAACTATTTTTTTAAAAAAAAATATTATCAAGTCACATAGTTAAAACAATATGCATGCCAGCGGTTCTCAATGGGCAGAGGAAAGGAAGGAAATTTTCTTCCAATCCCTGCCCCTTACCATACACACGTCCCTTGACAATGTTTGTGGACATTTTCCACTGAACTAAGTGCGGGAGGGGTAGGCAATTACTGTCATCTCTTGGGATGCTGCTAGGCATAGCACAGTACACAGGACAATTATGTATGTCAAGGATGTTCTCAGGCAAAAAATGTCAATGGTACTAAGGTTGAAAAACCCTGGGACAGAGGGATTGCATTCACATGAAGTGTTTATCCAGTAATTTCATCTTTTAAATATTTGCCAATCCTTGGATTGACTCCACGAAGTAATGTTAGCAATACAAAAACACAGTGGGGATTACTAATTACCACTAAATCTGCTAAAGCCATTTTAACAGAATACCTCAGCTCTCCTCATTCCTAACACCTGAAAACTCAAGTGTTTACAACAGATCAGTAGATAATAGCACTGATGTTTCTATGATAATTATGTAAAAAAGATTTTTATATTTTATATAACAAAAACAATATCTTAATTCTGCTTAAAACAACTGTTCACTGAATTCACCTTAACATAGAAAGTTACAGTCTTGTAAATCTTGAGCAAATCCTGCCATTTTATAAATACTAAAAGGTTATTTTATTTAGAGGAGACAATGTCTTCATCAGTTTTTCTAAAACTTAAATCTTCCTGCTATAACATTAGAATCTATGTATGACTACCAAACTAACCCTGCACACTGAATACATTTTATTTTCAAAACAGCAGTGAACCACCGAACGTAAAACTAATCTTTCACAAAATGTGCATGAACCAGCCAAATGTGCTTGTGCGAAGAAAATTATCACAGTTTTGTTGTTGCTGCTGCTGTTGTTGAGAGCTGTGGGTTAGAGAGGAGGCGTTCTCTATGTCATTTTACTAAGACCTCCACAGACGTGAAAAACTAAACGTATAACAGCATTTACTTACACTGTTGTTTGAAGAAAGAAAAAAATCCTAAGCAACTGGTATTTTGCTAAGCAATACCAACATTGTAATCTTGTCTCAAACTTTCCATATTTTACAAGAACCTCAAGGAAAACATATGTAAATAAATACAAACATACAAATTCATATAGGCAGATGTATAAATAGTTAACAGATAAAATTGTTCAATGTCTTCAGTATTCAAGAACATGCAAATCAATGCAAAGTGTCTATTTTTTAAACCTATAAATTATCAAAGACACACTCTCAAATTCACTAGTGCAGACATGCATGAAGTCCCTGGGGTCTACGTGGAGCTGTTCATATAAATGGATATTTGACAAAAGGCATCTAAAAACTACTACTAGACCAGTTTTTTTCTCCTTTTTTATGATAATGAAGGATTGCGCACTACATCTGGGTCCTAGGAGAATGCAACCAAATGAAGGCCCTGTGACTCTTGTTAAAATGTTTCCTAGACAGAACAGTGACGAGTAAGTTCATTTGTCCAAAGTTCTGTAAGTAACAGAGTATTCTTAAAAATGGCTATACCAATCACATTGTGCTATACCAATCACAAATATGCTCCAGGGGAGGGCACGTCTAATTTGCATTTATTTAGACCAAGCTCACAAACTCCCTCTGAACAGTCCTCAGTCTCTACATCCAAAAGACTAACTACTGAAACCAATCCTATTGTGTTGGAAATTGAGGTAGCATCTTCGTAAGTTATAAAATTCACATTTCATTCTCGTGGTTTCTATCACTACAAACACAGATCCATTTTAAATGCAAATGCTGAGGAAGGTGACATTTCACTGTCATGTCGAGGAAAAAAAGAATAGTTTAGTGTCTTTTGAAATTATTATCATGAGAATACATTAAAACCAGATGCTTTTTCCTGGTATGGAAGTTATATATG